AGACCAAAAAGTGAAAAAGTATATTTTAACAAAACGCATTTAACTAGCAGGTCGAACAACGGATGTTCTTAAACCCTGCTGACTGCCATGGCGATTGCCAAATAAACGGATCACCAGATGTAAAAATGGATCTTAATTTATAAATTAAATACAAAACAGAAAACAATAAACTTGCGCAAAAGATGGTATATCGCAAACATGAGGTGCAAAAATTTGTACACCATATCCGGATTTCGACAATTAATGTCTCTTCAGTGATGTTAGGAATCGAAACGGTATTTGGAAGGCCATATAATTTACCTCAATTTTGGATTGACTCTTGAATTTTGAAGAATCAAGATAGGATGAACGGATCATATAAGCCCGAAGGCAAATATAATACAAGCCCAAACGAAAAAAATATAAATAAGTCTAAATTGAAAACAACGTTCAAACCTATGATTGCGTTGGATAAAAACCGCAATTTTTATACGTGTGCATGCAAAACAAATTTCTTGGTAGAGTGGTCTAAATACAGCACAAACAACATTTTCCAAAAGACCAAAAAGTGAAAAAGTATATTTTAACAAAACGCATTTGACTAGCAGGTCGAACAACGGATGTTCTTAAACCCTGCTGACTGCCATGGCGATTGCCAAATAAACGGATCACCAGATGTAAAAATGGATCTTAATTTATAAATTAAATACAAAACAAAAACAATAAACTTGCGCAAAAGATGGTATACCGCAAACATGAGGTGCAAAAATTTGTACACCATATCCGGATTTCGACAATTAATGTCTCTTCAGTGATGTTAGGAATCGAAACGGTATTTGGAAGGCCATATAATTTACCTCAATTTGGGATTGACTCTTGAATATATATATATATATATAAATGTCTAAGAATATAACTTAAACACGCTAATTGATACATTAAAATGTTCTATGAGATTTTAAATAGAAATACGCAATATTTCGCTAGACAAACTAGCTTCATCAGGCGTGTGCATCTCTCAAGGTGAAATCGGATGCATGACAAAAAAAATACTTGTGTAGCTTAAACTACACAAAATTTGAGTAAAGTTTAACATGTTTATTAATGTTCTATAAAACAAATTATATGTTTGTAGCTTAAACTACATAAAGTTGGAGTAAAAAATAAAAGGACTCCATATGTTCTTACCTACCACCCATCTCTCTAAAACAGCTTCGGTGTCATTCCTGAGCATTGGAAAACAGTTGAAAAGAATTCCAAACTATCTAAGATTTTTCCCGAACCTCCCATGATAGCTTTTAGGCAACCCAATAGTCTGCGGAACCTTTTGGTGCGGGCTGAGGTGTCTGATCATAGAAGTACTTCTGGAGAATGTCGTTCGTGTGATGAAAAACGCTGCAAATGCTGCCCACAGATGCATCACTCATCAACTTTTCACAGTAAGGCAACCGAAAGTAACTAAGATATTTTGCAATGTTACCTGCAAAAGTATGAATGTTATCTACATTCTAGAATGTTCGGTTTGTGGCCTCCAATATGTTGGTGATTCAAAGCAGCCTTTCCAGAAACGCCTCAATGGCCATAGGAGTGATATCTCTAAGAAGCCACGTCTCCCAGTTTCTCAGCATTCCAGACAGTCGGGTCATAAACTTGATGACTTTAACCGCATGAAAATCCTAGTGATTGAACAGAACATTCACTGGACTGATGCCCAGCGACAGGTTCGGGAGAGCTTTTAGATAACGGAACTAAATGTACATCATCCAAACGGCATCAATAAGAAAATTTAATACTAACAGTTTTATTTTACACTCATTTTGGGGTATACATATAGACAGTCACGTATATTTGAGTATCGAGTTTTGTTGTAAATTATGATGTTCAAGATTTGGGATTAAATCAAAAGACTAAAACTTACCTGTATAACTGAGCTATTTTTACACATACAATTAGTATTGTAAAAACTATTGACACTGACGAAGGCTATTTGTTAAGCCGAAATATTTGTCAACACGATTTTATAACATCATCTTCGTATATTACCATCTTATAATTTAGTACCGTTGTGCAAATCTTTAGACTTATATAATGTTTTCCTTATCTGCGCAGTATCGTTTATTCTAGACGATCCGGTACATATTAAATTTGCTGGTTGGTCCTTTTTATAAACTTCTATATATATATATAAATATATAATTACTGTAAATGTTAAATCTGTGCAAATTTGCGGTAGCAAATTTTTGATCTTCCCTCGCCGGGATTCGAACTCATGCTATTGGGATATCGAGACAACACCGCCTGCACTGTGTCCAGCACTCTAGACCACTCGGCCACCTACACTGAACTAAATAATTCAGCTTTCGGTGGCCTAGTTTTACCTTTCCTCGTCAGTAGAATCTAGAGTTGTAACACACTCAGTACATGATATATTAGGCATGAAGATGGAATTGATATATACTTTTAGAATAGTATCATAATATATTCTAAAAACAGTGCTTAGAAAAAAGCCTGGGATATCCCATAAAAGCTTACATAGTATAGCTTATTTCCAATGGGGTCCCTTGTTTGAAAATATATAAAAATAATATTTCAAATTATTGTTAAAATTTGACTTTCACCTACAAAATGAAAACAAGATCAAATGTTTCTTAAAAAACATATAAAAATCTCCAGTTTCAATATTTCTTATGGCTTGAGGCGGTGCATTTTTTTTTAAAATTCAATTTGACTTTTTACAAAGAAAGCATTACCAAAAAAATTGTGGACTAAGGCCATCAACCTATTGTCGTAATACCAGTATATTATACAATTATTGACTATTGATGAGGTTGATACAATGATTTATCAACCCCCGAGGCCAACGGCCGAGGGTGAATGTCATATCTCTGGGATTGATAAATCATTGTATCAACTGAAATCAAAAGTCAACAATTGTTTTATTATATGACTTTTTATCCTTCTCTAATTTTCTAGTATTTGCTCAGGATACTTTTAAAAGTGCTCCCTGTTTTTATGCTAAATATATCATCGGTTCTGCTTTTGCAGTTGCTAATTTTCATAAGTTGAAATATTCAATGAAGTTTACTAAAAATACACCGAAAAAAAGAAGAGAAAAAATACAGGGTAAACAAGCAGAAAAAAGAGAAAAAACGGGAATTTTCATGACGTCATAAACCTACGTTATTGACGTTGCCTTGGAATATCTATAACAGGTACACGGACGCTGTTCCAAATCTTATATTAATCTCTCGTGATTTTTGTCGCGATGAATATAATGTTTTATCAAGGAGGATTTCCTATGTTTTTAGCCAATGAGAAAACAGAAAATTTATAGTCATATAATAATTATAATTATCATTGATCTTCGGAATACTCGTCTTCTCCCTCTTCCATATAAGAGTTGATATCCTAATGTATCGTTGTGACACTGCGAGACTACGCATGGTGACATTACACATCTAGTCCCATCAGGCTATAATAACATCTTTGGTACATTTGTTATGTTGAATATTGCAAGACCGACACATTTATCAACTGATTGTCGGAATACCAGTATAATATCATCTTTGGTACATTTGTTATGTTGAATCAGAGACATATATACACATATATATGTGTATATATGTCTCTGGTTGAATATTGCAAGACCGACACATTTATCAACTGATTATCGGAATACCAGTATAATATCATCTTTGGTACATTTGTTATGTTGAATATTGCAAGACCGACAGATTTATCAACTGATTGTCGGAATACCAGTATAATATCATCTTTGGTACATTTGTTATGTTGAATATTGCAAGACCGACACATTTATCAACTGATTGTCGGAATACCAGTATAATATCATCTTTGGTACATTTGTTATGTTGAATATTGCAAGACCGACACATTTATCAACTGATTGTCGGAATACCAGTATAATATCATCTTTGGTACATTTGTTATGTTGAATATTGCAAGACCGACACATTTATCAACTAATTGTCGGAATAACAGTATAATATCATCTTTGGTACATTTGTCATGTTAGATATCGAAAGACCGGCACATTTATCAACTGACTGTCGGAATACCAGTATAATATCATCTTTGGTACATTTGTTATGTTGGATATCGCAAAACCGACACATTTATTAACTGATTGTCGGAATACCAGTATAATATCAGCAGATTTTCGTAACAAAAAATAAAAGTAATACTCTAAGTCTTGTAATATTGTTGTAATAACAGTACATTTACGGGTGCCACATGTGGAGCAGGATATGCTTATCCTTCCGGAGCACCTGAGATCACCCCAAGTTTTTGGTGGGGTTCGTGTTGCTTAGTCTTTAGTTTTCTATGTTGTGTCATCTGTACTATTATTTGTCTGTTTGTCTTTATTTTTGGCCATGGCGTTGTCAGTTTGTTTTCGATCTATGAGTTTGACTGTCCCTCTGGTATCTTTCGTCCCTCTTTTATTATTTGATTGTTTACAGAAATAATCCAAGTCCTCTCCGTAATGGATCTCGAGTTAATGTAGCCACGGTAGAGTAGCGTACTAAGATAGCCTGGATACTGACTTGATCTCTGCTTCGCGTCTACTGTGGTGCAGCAAGTCATAATCATAGGCTTATTGTTGGAATACCAGTACAGTTATCAGCTGAATTGTCGTTACTGTACCAGTACATTTCTTAGCTGATTGACGTAATGACATAAAAGCAAAACAATTGTATTGTTGACATTTGTGGTGGGGTTCGTGCTGCTTAGTTTTTGGTGGGGTTCGTGTTTATCAGTCTTTAGTTTTAGGTGGGGTTCATGTTGCTCAGTCTTTAGTTTTTGGTGGGGTTCGTGTTGCTCAGTCTTTTAGTTTTTGGTGGGGTTCGTATTGCTCAGTCTTTAGTTTTCTATGTTGTGTTTTGTGTACTGTTGTTTGTCTGTTTGTCTTTTTGTTTTTAGCAATGGCATTGTCAGTTTATTTCAGACTTATGAGTTTAAATGTCCCTTTGGTATCTTTCGCCTCTCTCTTAAACACAAACTATTTCTAAATTATTTTATTTATTAAATATCAAATACAAACCTATTTTGATTGAGTATATGAATGAAAGATGATATATATGTATAGTTATGTTAAATAAAAAAATATAATTATTCATGTTTGTCCTACACTGCCAAAAAACGCCTTCGTCTTCTTCAGTGCTGTTTCATAGTCGTATAACGGTTTATATCCGAGCATTTTCTTAGCTTTATCATTCTTGTAAATGCAAGTTTTATTCATACTTAAAATAACCCAGTTTGATATTGGCAAATTAACTTTGTAAAATGGTCGTATTGGTAAGAGAAGGTAGTAGAACAGTGTAACCATTGCTATGGTTACAAACATTGGTATATACCACCAGGACAAAGTTATCTTTACATTTTCTTTCGGTATGTACATGTGTCCACATTCAAAAGCAGATTGAGGGGGAGTGTCGTCAACAGTGAAAAAATAATGGCCGCCAATACCATTATCTCTCCCCATCCTTTCATAGACCTTTACAAACATCATTGCCACATTCCCTACGTAAACAAGAGGCAACAATGATGTTGTCTTCCCGACAATCCTAGACACAGTTCCTTCTTTATAAAACGAGGCAATTTCTAATCTCCTCCGGTCTTCTTCGCCATACATTGATGTAGGTAATACGGCTGCTGTTTGGAAAATTTTGCCTATAATATTAATGAATTAACAATTAAAAGCGACATCAGGAAGTACCAACAATTATGTACAATCACCCAAAACCTGTATATAGTGGACACCAACAATGTATGAAAATTTGATGATTTTAAGTTCATGCATACTTAAATTATTCACCAAAAACAAAAATATTATTGTTCACATATGTTCTGTTTCCATGGTAACAGTGGCCATCTTGAAAATGCCATACCCCGATTGCAAATCTGCACATGCTGGTTAACATTATGGTATAGTTCCATAACATTTGGTTCATACAATTCCGAGATATAAGCTGGACAAAAAAAGTGGAAGAAAAAAATAAGAAAAAAAAAAACGTAGAATAACAATACGTCACCCCAACTCCGTTGAGGGTGCCATAATAATTTAATTTTGGATGTAACGCGTCTTCTGATTTGCTAACAGTGTTTTGTTACATAATTTTGGCATGTGACCGTGACGTCATCAACGTTTTTTCATGATTCACTCCGGCTTAAAATGGAATTTAGAATTAAATTATAAGGAATGACTGTAATATTTTTTCTGTCTATTCGAAATAACATCAAACATGTGGTGCACACTTTTAAATAACCCGATACGCTGGTTATTCAGTGTGCACCACATTTTTGATGTTATTTCTTCATAGACAGAAAAAATATTAAGTCATTCCTTAAATAAAACAGACCACAACAATAACCAACACCAGACCCCTTCGAAAAAATAGTAAACGATAACATTAACTGTTCCAAATGATACTAAATGTGGCGGATCAAATTTGCAGTTAAAGTTGTTTTACTTAACATCAAAACTCAAGTATTCAACTTAATACTAGGGAATTTATAAATGTAAAATGGAAATTGGAAAATAGAAAATGGAAATGGAAATGTAGTTCAAATATTATGAAATGTTATTGCGTAAAACGGGTTTTCTTTGTAAGAGCAGCGTAAACGGGTTTTAATTAAAAGACTAAGAGCAGCGTAAAACGTTTTTTTTTTTTTTGTAAGAACAGCGTAAAACGGGTTTTCTTTTTAAAAAGTATATTAAATGGCAAACATGTTGATACTTATTTGATGATTTTCTAGTCATTTGACCATGGCTTTTACCTTCATTTCCTACCTATGTTGTCGGATGCATCTGTATTTAAAGTAACAGAAATCCTATCCGTCGATTAAACATGTAATGTCGTCCAAATTATCGCCTGGTGGATATTTGTATTTTTGTAATCTTGTGAGCTATGTAAACTTAGGGGTGTTTTTTTTTTCTTGAATACGTTTTTAGTGTATTTTGTAAACCAATGACAGAACGGTCTTTGGTCTTGTCCTAAATACGGTTAACCCATTTTTGAACGAATTTAGGTTGCTTGGGTACTTTTACATGAAAAATTAAACACTGTTCTTCCTGATAATAGTATATACACACAGTGCTGTTATGCTTCCGTTTTTCAAGAGGCCAAAAGATTTATAAAATAACAGTAATTTTGTAAACAAACATAATTTCTAAATATACAGCCTTTTATAGCTGACTATGCGGTATGGGATTTGCTCATTGTTGAAGGCCGTACGGTGACCTATAGTTGTTAATTTATGTGTCATTTGGTCTCTTGTGAAGAGTTGTCTCATTTGCAAACATACCACATCGTTTTTTTTAATATGTACTAATTATTATGAAAATGTTGATCTAGATGAAAATTTCCACATTCTTATTTTTGGACTTTCTACTAAAAATATCGTTTAATTTGCTGTATTATGAAACATTACACTATTTGGCTTTGATTTTTTTTTAGAAACTACGAGTTCTCTTATTTTGAATTGTTTCATATTGAAAATATTTATGTTCCAGTCGGTAAATGTTTTTCACTTTTTGTTAATTTAATCATTTTATTTCATGCTTTATTCGGCTTTAAAATAAATGTATGTTACTAGTATTAAAACATAATAAAGTATGACTAACCATTTTCTAAAACACTTCTATTTTCCTTAATAACCATTTCCAATGCAACTTTTTTTGATACAGCGTATTCGCCAAGCGGATTTTTCGCTATTGGTACAGTTTCTTCTGTCCCTTCAAATACCTCGTGTCCATCGAAAAAGGACGAGATACTTCCGCAGTATATCAAGTTTTCAACCCCTTCTTCTTTACATGCATTTATTACATTTTGGGTACCTTTAAAAAAGTATTGTGAAACTACAACGAATAACAACACGTAAATACTATACATACTTATTTAGTTATTATTGTTATATATATATATATCTGTAAAGAGGCAGACGATACTAAGGAGACATTCAAAACTCACAAGTCGAAAGGAAGCTGACAAGGACATGGCCAAATATATATAAAATACTGACGAGGAGATCCGACCAGTCATCTTCAAGGTTGCGTATTTTCATGAATTTCAAGAAATTAATTTTGGGAATCAGTTTTATGTTTTTCATCTAAAGGTGTTTTTTTTCGTACATGTATAGCTCATAACGTTTTAACGTATTTATACATTCCTGGCTTTCAATTGTTTAGGTTTTAGCGTTCATGATGTAGGTTAACAAAAAAACAAAAAAAAACGCACCGGACCCCCAAAATTTCTCATACTTTCCTTTCATATTCCACGTTCTTCAAGGCTCAGATTCAAATTCAATTATTGGGACCTAAAAACATGTGTCCACACGTAGCTGATAAAACAGACTGGGAAAAGATTGTTTATATTTTATTGATCATAAATATAATTACTTATAGATACCCTGAATATTTATCTCGTTTAATGCTGTGATATCTGGAAACAATTTATATTCAACCAACGCAGCAATATGGAAGACACATTTGACATTTTTACAAGCTTTCCTCACGACATCTGGGTCAGTAAGACTTCCTGTAATAGATGTCACTGGCTTTCTGTCTTCAAAATCTACAACAAAGTCGTCCAACAATTTAATCAAAACATAGTAAAAGATGTTATCGGAGTCAATCTACCTGCCTTCAAAAAGGATATTCTTTCCATAATATTGAAAGGAGGATGTGATAATTTTACTGTACATATTTTTCTGCTCTGTAATAGAAGTTAAGAAGACTGATTAATCGCAAATGGGAAAGCTTGTCATATTTTCGTGGATCTGTCAAAAGTGAGCAAGCAATCCTAATTCGAAGTAGATGTGTATGTGTGTGTGTGTTAATGAGACTGCTAAATACAATAAAGATAAAATCGAGAAATTAAATATGGCCATCATTAACAGAATTTAGAGCACTGCTATACAAAGTTATATATACATGTCAAGTTCTCCAGTGTCTCTATAGACAAGCTGTATACCAACTTAACAGGAATTATCTAAGAAATACCACCATAATTAGCTTAACAGCAATGTAAATGTACCATCACGACTTAAGTTCACGCGACATTTGTTAATTAATAACTTTAATTATATTATTAATTATTGCTTTTAACATTTTTTGGCATCATTTTTGTTTCGTCACTTTTTCATAAAAAAGTAATTGTTACTTTTTTTACAATGATTGAAGCATTTTTTTTTAACAAAATGAGAAACTTTGTTACCCAAATTCTTTTCATACGGTCTGATGTCTAGGACTCGTATTTCCGTAATATCATCACAATACATATCTAAATGTTTGACTACATGCTGACCAAGGAATCCACTACCACCGGTCACCAGCACAATGTGTGAAGTCATGCCCGGATGTCTGAAATGGCAAACATGAATATTGAGAGTCACGTCTATATGGAGAGTAACATCATGGATTGAGACTAAAATCACAAAATGAAGAACAATAAACATAACGCACCTTTACTTACTGTAAATAAAAATAAACTTGATTTTTTATGACTCATTCATTGAATTATTTTCTCAGCTTACGAAGGTTCTTTTATTTCTTGTTAAATTAATTTGTCCATCCCTCTAAATGACTCAAACGCAACAAGGTCGTATTTGGCTTGAAACATGTTAATTTTTTTTCTTATTTATGTTCATTTAACTTTATTTAGTTTTGAATGTTCGGTGGTTTTAAATATGTTTTGTAACTGAACAAACCTTTGATTTAATTATCATTTTGTACTTTCAATTAAATTTCTTCCTAACTGATGCTTTGATTTAAATATGATAAAAATTAATACGTGTGCACAAAGTCACACGGACTCTTTATGATTTTTTTAAATTTATCACTTTAATATAAAAATTGAAAACGGGAATATACGTATAATTTCACCATCTATGAAATTCGGAACATTTTAATCTTTGTTATAACTGTAAACAGAAATGTAATATGCAATATCATCAGGTGTGGGTGCTTGTCATCAAAGAATGGTGTGGGTGCTTGTCTTCAATGAATGATGTGGGTGATTGTCTTCAATGAATGGTGTGGGTGCTTGTCTTCAATGAATGGTGTGGGTGTTTGTCTTCAATGAATGGTGTGGGTGCTTGTCTTCAATGATCGATGTGGGTGCCTGTCTTCAATGAATGGTGTGGGTGCTTGTCATCAAAGAATGGTGTGGGTGCTTGTCTTCAACGAATGGTGTGAGTGCTTGTCTTCAATGAATGGTGTGGGTGCTTGTCTTCAATGAATGGTGTGGGTGCTTGTCTTCAATGAATGGTGTGGGTACTTGTCTTCAATGAATGGTGTGGGTGCTTGTCTTCAATGAATGGTATAGGTGCTTGTCTTCAATGAATGGTGTGGGTGCTTGTCACCAAAGAATGGTGTGGGTGCTTGTCCTCAATGAATGGTGTGAGTGCTTGTCTTCAATGAATGGTGTGTATGCTGATCTTCAATGAATGGTGTAGGTGCTTGTCTTTAATGAATGGTGTGGGTGCTTGTCTTCAATGAATGGTGTGAGTGCCTGTCTTCAATGAAGGAAGAGAGTTATAGATGCATATTTAAGTGAATTTAGATTTTATTCAATTTGCAGCTTTAAACACATCTCCTTGTTATTGATGTTTTGTATTCCTGATAGATGACCACCAATGACCATGAGTGTAATTTGTACTGTAACTCGTACAGTTAATTTAACACACCCTATTACCGGCTTTCATTATACTGCAGATAAAACAGTATCTGTGTTCCCGGTTGCCTTTAAAACAATAGTTTTTTTGCTAACGTGTACAACATATCTTTGTCTGTTGTTCCGATAACCATTAAAAACAATGGATGTTGCAAATATATGCTACATATTGCATCTGCAGTACCGATGTCAACCGATAGCAGATTTACACATCTTACATGACTTAATTACTAAAAAGTAAATTAAAAAATATGATTAATATCAGTTTACTTACAAACCAGAATTGTATCCGATATAGAATAAATACACTAAATCTAAAAATAAATTGACCTATTTTTGTTTACAGGTTGGTTAATTTATTTATAGTGTGTGGTGAGATTTTTTTAAGCTCCTTGACGGAATTGGATATTTGCTATATCATAGCTCACGTTAACATTTTTTATGGCAATACAATGAAATAATCATAATGATTTAATTGCAGTAATTTGAGAACTGATTTTGCTATGTATCCGTGTGTAAATAAACGTTTTAAGAAGGCACAGTTTCTGTACAAAGTCAATAATTTTGTTGACTTTTGAAGTCATAACTTTCTATTGCTTTCGATACAATAATGAGAGATCGAAAAAGTATACCAATACAGAACTACTGGTATAGGTTTTTGAAATTCTAACTAAAAGTTTGGGTGATGAGTGGTTTGTAGTATTAACAAAGAAATTGTTTTTAAAAAAAACTGTCATTTTCTCCCTACCCTATTTTCCCCTAGCATTTGTTTTGATATGGAATAGAATCTATTCAACTATTTATTAGACAAGCAATTTCAACCTAGCTTTTTAATCTATAGAACCAGTTTGAAATCTCCATTTTTTTTAAAACCAACATGTTTGCTCGAATAAATTCGCCTTGATATCTTATCTTCATGATCTAGTACTATTTGAAAATTATCTAAAAGATAAGGTAGGGGAAATTGTTACACGATTGCCAGACAGACAGACATTAAACACGTTCAGTAACTGAAAAATTCAAGAGAAAAAAATGTTTTTTAGGAGATCGCCTGTATGAGGAATACCGTGGCCGATCTGAACATTAAGTTTCAAGTGCTTTTAAATTGTTACTAAGTTGTTCTAGTTTGCGCTTACAAAATGTATGAAAACAAGATTTGTTCTGCGTGTATTAAGGACAACGAAGGTCGGGCGACATAGCGATCACGTTGTTAATATGAAATTCGAAAGTTCTGTTCACCTTAGAATCGGAAGATGATGGATGAATAGAAATTAGCGTCTTTTTTGTTGTAACTAAAAGTTAGTAATAAACACATAATTTCTGTAACAGTTGTTTAATTTTTGCTCATTGTTAATGAATTATACACAAACCATTCCATTATGTCCTGTCAGTAATACGGAAGTTTAAAGTTCTAAATAACGGGGGATATTATCCCGCTAGGGCACACCAGACCCCTTTGTCTCAAATCTTTAAGGAGTACGCTTCGGCCATTAGGCCAATTGACAACCGAGAAAATATATAACATAATTACTAGTGGAATAAATTGAAAGAACATTTCATGAAACTGTCACCTAAGTGCGAGATGGTTTGGTGAACGGTACCGTTGTTTATGTAACCCGATCTTACACTGTTTGGTTGAACTGGGTTTTTATGGTTCAATATCTCAGTTCGATTGGTTGAACTCGGTTTTATGGTTCAATCTGTCAGTCCGTTTGGTTGAACTGTGTTTTATGGTTCAGAATCTCACTGCATTTTGGTTGAACTGGGTTTGTTGGTTCAATATGGCTGTCCGTTTGGTTGAACTAGCTATTATGGTACCATTTCTCAATCCGTTTGGTTGAACTGGGTTTTTATTGTTCTATATCGTACTCAATTTGTTTAAACTGGGTTGTATGGTTCCATATCTCGCTCCGTTTAGTTATACTGGGTTTTATGATTTCATATCTCAGTCCGTTTGGTTGAACTGAATTTTATGGTTCCATATCTCTCTCCGTTTGGTTGAACTGGGTTTGATGATTCCATATCTCAGTCCGTTTGGTTGAACTGAATTTTATGGTTCTATATCTCACGCCGTTTGGTTGAACTGGGTTTTATGGTTCCATATCTCACACCGTTTTGGTTAAAATGGGTTTTGGGGTTTTATATCTCACTCCGTTTGGTTGAACTGAGTTTTATGGTTCCCTATTTCTCTCCGTTTGGTTGAACTGGGTTTTATGGTTCTATATCTCACTCCGTTTTGGTGAACTGGGTTTTATGGTATCATATTTCACTGTTTGTTTGATCTTGGGTTTATGATGTCTGTCCGTTTTGGTAACCTGGCTTTTATATTTCACTCTGTTTCACAGTCTGTTAAGGCTGAATTTGTTGTAAACTAATATAGAAATAAATTACTAAGGTAAAAACGAACCTATGTCGCATTTCCATTAGGTTCAAAATGTTTGTGTTAATCATAATGTTACTTAATTATATTGATACATAAATTTTCCACTGGATGTTAAGCGAACACACTCAATCAATCAATCAATCAATCAATCAATCAGCCAATCAATTAATCAATCAATCTACAAATCAATCAATCAATCAATCAATCGATTTTGAATATTTTGTTGAATGTAAGAATGCGGGTTTAGGAAACGAAACCTTGAGCAGAGAAGTTATGTTTTACATAACTAACCAGGAATAATGTTGTACAAACTTTAACATGACCACCTATTTGCCCTAAAGTAATCCTTGTTATTTGTAAAATATAAAAAGGGAGCATGACCTAAACGCAACACATTGGTAAAGCGTTGTTTGTCTGTAGCTGGAAGAAATTTTATCGTGTCTGTACTTCGTACTATTATATAACCTTTGGTTGCTTTCACAAGTTTGAAGAATTTGAGACGTCAGTTCAGCAAAACACTCGTACATAATTCGCCATTTTAGTGTCTCAAAAACTATGTGTATTTCAAATTTTTACTACCCAAAAAGGAAAAAAAGGCGTCACATCTTTGGTCGACTTTTATCATTTAGGTTAGACAGTCACAATGTTTTGGTGTACGGTTTTAAAATATTACCCAGAATGCTTTAGATTTAGGACTCGCATGTAGATCCACATTTTGTTTCACGTGTGGATTTGACTTTTTATAATGTAGCATCAGAATAAATAACGGGTATAATAATACTTTAATATTCAAATTTATTTAGATAAATTGAAAGCCTAGAGCACGTCGAACAGTTATAAAAAAGCAAAACGTCAAAATAGAAATAAGAAATAAGAACCTCTATTAGACCTTAAAATATTACACAAATAGATTACTATGAATGCCTTTTACTGTACGGTCTTCTATGTACCTGATCAAGAGAAAAGGGGGTTGTAAAGCACTCCTTATAAAACGTTCTTACATCCGCCACGTGTCGATATGCATCTTCCATGTCAGTAACCTCATCAATGGCTGTCTATAAGAATATCTTCGTGGTATTGCACTTTTAAGAATTGTTGGTTTTGTAGCCCTTGATATATCGCAGACAAATGCATTACTTTCCGGTTCCTCATGGGGATCTTTTCATAGTGACTTTCATCTACGAGCTGTTAGTTTTTAAACTTACGGGTAGATTTAATTGACCTATGGGTCTTTGTAATATATTCGTATTGTTGGGTTGTTCTCTCGTATACCTTATACCCTACTTATATTTATATTTAAATGAAAACCACCACAAAATTACTGTTACTCCAGTCATTATTTCAGTCAGTGAATTATCCAACAAAATAAAGATACTAGATCGTAGATAAGTTATCACCAAATTATAGACTTAAAGTTTTAAATTAGGGATGCGTTTTTAAAAGGATTATCATTTTGCTATTATTATGTCTACATTTTCATTAATTTGGATAAACCGTAGCCCATAATTAGACATATTAGTTTGATCATCATTTAACATAAATTAACGAGAGGGGATAAATTGCGTTTACAAATTGCTCTCGGCTCAATAATGCCTCCTTCACATACACGGATTTAATTTACGAGTCCTTACGGATCGCACAAAATCCGTACGAGTTGGCCACTTTTACAACGAATTTAAGAGTTGTTACGAGTAATTACGAGCTATTTATGGTTTATTACGGATTATTACAAGTTATTATGGAAAAACCAGTGTGTAGACAATCGTAAGAAGATTTTTTATATGTTAAAATGTTGCATCTCCTTTCATAAATCCTTAAAATTGTCTGAGAGTTGTTGATAGTTGCGACGGGTTATACACGGATACCAGCGAGTTATTTACGGATGCTTGCGATTGACTACGAGTTGGCGATCCGTAAGGACTCATAATAAAAATCTGTGTTATAACAATGTTAATGCCCTCTTCACATACACAGATTTTTCTTACGAGTCCTTACGGATCGCCAACTCGAAGTTTGACAACAATTTAAAACGGAAAACCAACGGCCTGATTAGTGCTAAAATCAAAAAAAGAAAAACAAATATGGCCGAAATCAACCAACGACAACCCATGAATGACAGGCTCATGACTGGTGATAGGCACATACAGAATGTGACGTGGTTTTTAACAGATTTAAGAGTGCCCAACCATCCCCTTACCAAGAAAGTTGTTAAACAGCCCAACATAAGACCAAAAAAATATGAATCAGTTGGAAAGGATTTTTCTAATCAAACTGGCACGAAGTACAAAAACAACTTACAAAATTAAAGTAAAAATTACAAATTAAGAGTTTTCGCAGTTACTTACTGCTAGTTTTAAGCCGCATTCAGCTAAACTTTAGTCATGATGTCCAAACTGATAGTTTAATTGTATTACTATAAATAATAGATATAAAATTCACCAAATTAACAGATGTAAACCGTTCGTGTTATTTATTTTAATTAACTGTTACTCATATGTAAAAAATCGTTGGTTTCTTTAAAATGTTTTGTCAGTGCAAATATAGAACCAAAAAAAAATAATCCGAATTTACAAATTTTAACCTTTTTGCGCTTGATCATTCTTTTATCAAAAAATAAATCAATACATTATTTTAGTAAAAAAGGATTCAAAATAATAAGAACTATTGTTTCCGAGTCAATTGACATAAAAATTATGTGTAAACGGATACAATTTAATAACGAATATGACAATGGTATATCTTAAAGTGTAAGAATGGTTGTGCATGCATCACCATGCGTTATCTCCTATTAAGACTTTATTATTTTTCAGTTGAATAAAAGGTGACACAAAACTGGTCAGTTTAATGCATTGTTTTGAATCATCTAGATAGTAACCCAACTTAAGACAAAAATAACAAAAAGGACTTAAAATGGTA